TGTCCTTTGTATTTGCCAATTAATTTAGGAACACTTATAACAAATCTCATTAGTCTTTGCAGGCATCGAACTCCCTTTCAGATTTGATAGTTCATCTGTTGATATCATGTTGATGCAGAATAAATTCATGATTGTTGTCTTTGAGCAGGAAAGAAGATACAAAAATTATAAGAAATGTTGTTCGGCTCCACATTACGGTGTCTAACAATCGCAAGGGTTCAATCTACGTGAAGTTCGCAGAAAAAATCTAAAAAATCTGAATACCCAAAGATCAAATTTTCGTAATTGAATGTTGTGCTCACCCGAGCACGGATGGGGTGACATTCAAAAGATTGGCACTAAGTTGGTTACTGTCTCTATCTCTACTTTGTCAAGGTAAAGTCTTAAAATCCTAAGCATGGCCCTTGTAGCTTAGATTGAGGTCTTGATTATACTGAAGCTTCTTAAAAAATCTTACAAAAATATGCTACTTTCTGGCATTCTGTTCACGAGCAAAACTCCAATGCGGGCCGTGCTAGAGCTTCTGTTTTCGCAGTGAGCTTCATCTAACTTCGCTGTGAATTCGTGGAATACTTGCTTGTTGAGCATCAAGCAAGAACTACCAGCTTTGAGCGAACAAGGATTTGACATTTTTCATCGGCAAGGCTTATCGTAAAAGCTAACTCCCGTTCTCAAAAAATGAGTAATGGATTTCAGTGTACACCTATTTTTGTAGGCGAAATTCTCTTCAACAGCAACATACCAGGCTCTCAATAAACTCTTCAGTTCCCCTTTAAAATGCAGCTTATGGCTGCCACTTATCATTTGTGGGAACGAAGGGTGGAGGGTAAAATTGTTCATAACGAAAATCCTGGCGCTGAAAGACGAACAAGGGAGTCTACGCTGCGAGACGCGCATGCGAAGATGCATGGCTTACCTGATTGATAGAACTGTCCAAGAAGGTCATTTGATGAGTATGTTCAGGAAGAACTGAGATAATGAAGTTGATGACTATGGAGGTTCCGCCCAGACGCACTCCACCTGATATCTGAAGGAATAACATACGACTTTTTTTATGAGGCTAACAGTGTGAATTGTTTCTCAGAACTGTTTCAAAGCGGAGCGAGAACGAATGTAATAACGCTAGATTCTGGATGGTGGATGTCTTTAGCAGAAGGGGACGAAGCTCGCGAGAAACCTTCTAACGCACTTGCGGAGGGAAGGATGTTTTGGAGCAGTCACAAGTGTTGCTATAAGAAAAGCACTGTGAGTTTTCTCGCACTTTCTAGAGAAATGATACCATTGAACTATGACTTTGCGGCGCAGACATCCGCACTTACCACTTTGACTTTAAAAGAGCCGCGCTTCTTCCTTCTGAGGTTTCGGAAGTTTGCATCACGAGAACTTTTTTCATCCTAAGGAGGAGCAGAATTTGAATCATCCAAGCTCGCTTTTTCTCAGACTTGATGAGCTTGATCATAAACAAAGATGTTTCACATGTGAAAGGTCATGGCAGCGCTCCTGCAGCAAGTTCAGAAACGTAGATAGTGCCACCGAGAAAATACCAAGAAAGCGAGAAGCATAGATTGTTTGAATCTTTTGCTACAGTAGGAGCCTGATAAAAAACAGAGCTACAAAACATCTGAGATAAGTGTAAACTTCATTTTGCGCATCTGTTTCTCTTTACTCCAAGAAAATAAACATAGGTTGTAAGTAAGGGAAAAAACTAAAGATTTTGTTTAACCTCGAAAACCTGCTTAAGAATACTGTACCAAGCCCACTCGCTCGTCGAGAATGAATGCTGCGAGAATCGTATGGCTTTCTTCCATTTGCAAATTAGGTCGCTCTCCATACATATCTGTCATGTGCCTCGCTACACTTGTTGATGACTCCACTACCTTGTCTATCCGTACCGTAACTGTCTCATCTATATACCTGTACCTAGTATACAATACACGTCCTTGCTTAAGCGTACTTTCAATGATGGTACCCGTACCAGTAACCTGTTCTAAGGCGAATGTGGAGTGCCTCACACAGGAACCCAGAAGGAAAGGAACTCAAGAAGGCAACGGCCGAAACGGTTTTCGTAGATGGCAGGGTACCGTGCGAAAAGGAATTCTACACTTTCCTGAGCAGGCTCGAAAGCGAGGAGCACGAATGGGTCGACGACCGTGATCACCAGTATGGCATTATCACCAACCCCTGACTCGCCAAAATACGTATGGCCCACCTATTTAACATGGCGTGCTCTACGCTGGCCGCGATCAAATCTGATAGTGACGACCTCTTGGCGCATTGGATCGAAGCAGAGATGACCTCAACCCGCATATACCCGCTCCAGGTCGTCTTCGCTACCCCAGGGATGTATCTGAGAGAGTACGGGAGCACCGCCGCACTGTCGGTACGCTTGAGCAAGTCACCAATAGCATCCGAGCCAACAATGAAGCATCTCACGGATGGAGATCTTCGACAACGTGCGCTCGGGCTCGACGGCGGAGAGGATAATCAATCTGATATATAATGTAGTCAACTTGGAATGTTCTCCCACGTTCCATGTTCGCGTTCCTGAGCTGTCCGAAGGTGATCACATCGTATTCTGAACAACGCCAATCCGTTCCGACTCTCCTCAGACCAGTGCAAGGCTGTCGAACTTGGATGCTCCGACTACTCCATTTGGCCATCCAAGCGGCATATGGAACGAAAACGGTGGTAGGGACAGTTATTGCTAGCCTCCTCGCGATCCGACAAGCTCAGCGTGTTATCCTTATGGCTTCAACTAACAACATCGAGGCCTAATTCGTAAAAACGTTGATGGGTAGCCGTAACGGGCCTGTCAACATCGTACGATACATCTCGGACACAGCGGCCGCTGAAGACCGACTCCGCTAGCGGTAGACTTGAAGGAGGTCCAATACGTTCGCCGATTTACGCGTCGATCTAACAAGGAGGGGATACTTGGTCGAAGTAGCATTTCCGTATATGATGTATACTATCTTCTATAGCATGAAACACGGGTTTCAAATCGGTTTTCGATATCTGCAAAGCGCTTCTGGGAGGGGAGTTATGGAAATTTCTTGAGGTAACAATTTAATGATTTGGTCAAGACAAAAATAGGTGTTCAAGTCTTTCCGACTCTCGAAAGGAGTAATGAATGACATTAGTTTACAAGATTAAAGTCTTTATTCCATAAAGACGCCTTGGTAATTATCGTGATCCTATTTGAACTCTCGGACCGAGATTCTGAACAATTTTATTGTAGCGGCGCTTCCAAATATCCGCATCAAAAAATTCCCATAACTCCCCTCCCACAAGCGCTTTGCAGA